TTATTATTCCGATTGTTTTTGCATCACTTTGGGTGATATAAGTTACACACTTACACTTCAGGTTCTGTTCAACAAATGAAGGAGATAGAAAAACCTTTGAGCCTTTGTCTTCACAGAAGTCGTGCTCTTACAAAGTTCGTTTAGAAGATATTGGTTGCTGTTTGAAATGTCAATGCATTGTGACTGATGTGTTTGGAAGGTCAAGTGAGCCAGCATCCACTGAGACTGCTCCTGTCTTGCCAGGTTAGCTACGTTATGCAAACATGCTGCCGAAATAACGTGTGAGCTATTGTATTGCTTATAAACTTGAGTTTCCTTAACTTTAATTTAACCGTTGGGATAGAAATCCACAGGTTATTCAGGAGAGTCATACTAAAAATAAAAATGCATAATCAGAAAAATGATCTTTGGTTCGGATAAAATCTTTTATGATACTGATGAATTTTTTTTGGTTTTCTACTTTGACTGCAAGGCATTACATATTTCAATTCTAAAATATCATTCTTTTAAATTTCTGGAGGCTGACTCATTGAGACTTCTAATACTACCAGTCCAGTGATCCTGGCTTCTTTTCTTGTATCCTAATTCCAATATATGTTCGATCTGGCATTGTTTTAACCATTTTGCCCCCTATTATTTCTGAACAAATTAAATCATTTCCTTATGTTATGCTAACCTTTCCTAGGTTGAAATACTATCCACACTCTCATTCCATTAGTTCTTCTCCTTCGATGTTAGCGTTAAAGCATTGGCATCCCTTGGATTCTTCCCATGTTTCTGCAAGTTTGGAAATTGTAATACAACCTATTGACCTCATGATTGTTTCTCATCTCAATATATTCCTGTTTGGCATAAGATTCATTGGTTTTTTTATCAAGGACGGACATTTACCTCAGAAACTTCTTAAGTTTCTTCTCTTCCTGAACTGGTGGTTAGCAGTTGTGTTCAATCTCAAGAAGTGTTTAGTTTTGGTAAATCTTGCGATGCTATGCCTAAAGTTCATCATACAAGTATCTATGTTACTTTCAGGTGTTCCTCGAATAAATAAGCTGGAGATTGAAGGCAGGGGTTTCCACACCAATTTATATGCTGTTCGTGGGACTTACAGTGGAGGAAAGGAGGGCAAAAGTAGAATTCAATGGCTGAGGTCAATGGTTGGAAGTCCTGATCTAATCTCCATTCAAGGTACACTCAGTTGTATTTCTCATTGGACAATGGAACTTAATAGAAATTCAGGAATGTGTCAAACCTTCCTTCAGAATTGTTCTTCCTCTCTTCTTTATGTGTATACTCATATAAAAATATTATATGAAGTTTATCTGCTATCTCGAAAAGTTATTATTATTGTTAATCACACTTTACTGTGAGTGCTTAATAGTTTTTTAAAACTCATGGATAATATATGCAGTGCTTATTCTGCGGAAATTTGTATAGATTAAAAATGAAAAGAAACAGTGAAATTGAGTAAACAGGGATTTGAAAGAAGCTGAGAGGCAATTTTTGTGATGTTTCTATAATGAAAAATGAACTCCACATCTTTTCCCTTAAAATGCATGTAAACTTATGTGTCTTTCATTTGGTAAATAAATATTTCTTATGCAATGTGATTTACTTTTCTGCTTCATAATTGATGCTTATACAAAAATAAGAAAATAAATAGTATATTTTCAGTTCCAGGCTACTTGAAGAATGAGATGAGAAACTGGATAAGTATTTGAAAAGCATGTTATTCTTTATTTGTTGGTTTGTTGCTTTGTATTTTTTTTGTTCTGTACACTTACATTATTTGAGACTGTTCAGTTTTATTCTCAATGCAAGTATATTATTGGTCCTTGACTTGCCTTCCATATTGTTCGGATTCAACTTTAATATATAGTAAGATGTAGATTGAAGTCTTCAGTCACTGTGGTAGCTGTTGGCATACCTTTGTTTCTTTCTCAAGAACTCTTTATTGAATAGAAACAACAATTTGCTTAGCAGGGATATTGGGATCATTGGTTAGCTGGGATGGCTATATTTGTGGGAAGTCAAGCAAAAATAAGTCTATGTTCTTAACTTCAGTGGATTGCAAGGACTTCCCATACGAAGAGTGAAATATGATTTTTTTTTCTCATTAAGAGTAACATATATTGTCAAGAATGGTTGAGTGTGTATTTTATTAAATAGTATTCCTATACATACAAGTTTATAGAATAGGAAAGGAATAAACCATCAATTATATAAATTACATAAGGTATGTTTTGTCTTAATGCGCTTTAATCTAATTACTCACTCTCTTTAACACTCTCCCTCAAGCTGGAGAAAAATACTATCCTCCAGCTTGCCAATAATAACTTGGGATGCTGGATTACTTTAGTTTCTGTCAACACATCTACAAGTTATAAACTGATTGGCATGTATGGGGTACATATTAAACCATTATAGAACTTTTTTTGATGAATTGTTTATTAACCTCAATATATTTGGTTTCATCATGTTGCATCAAGTAGTAACGTTTTTGGTCAAGTTATTGTCATAGTATAAGCACATGGAGTTGTCCCACTTGGTTTTCAGATCATCTAAATTCTCTTTAGTCATAATAATTCACATACTTAATGAGTTATTACTCGAAAATCTAATTTTGCACTCGACCTTGCAACTACGTTTTGTTTCTGACTTATCAAAGTAATCAAGTAACTCCCAAAGAAGATACAGTAACCCGTAGTAGATATTTTGTCCACCATTAACCCTGCATAGTCTATATCCATATAAGCGTCTAGGAGTAACCTATCATTCTTTTCAAATATGATCTCTCTCCCAAGGGACCCTTTCAAGTAGTGTAGTATTCTATAGGCTATCTATAAGTGTACTTTTTTAGAGTTGTACATGAACTATCTTATAATACTTATTGCATAGACGATGTCTAGTCTTATGTGTGACAAGTACATTGACCTTTACATATCCTTATTTACTGGTATATTCTCTTTTACCAGTTCCAGTTTATGATTGGGTCGATAGGATTACTCATGGCTTACATACTAGCTTACCCATATATCTTAACAAGTCATGAATTTATTATTGTTGGGAAATAGAGATCCCAGATTTTGAGTTGGTGACTTTCATTCTAAGAAAGTACTTCAACTTAATTGGCTTCTTGATTTCAAATTCTCTAGTCATACATTGTTTGAATAATAATTTTTCTTTTTCATCATTTCCTATTATAGTAATGTCATGAATATATACTAGGAGAGATATAACTCCCGGTCTCAAATCTTGATAAATATAATATGATTTCTTGAGTCTGCTTGTATCCAAGCCTATTTCACCTTTGCAAATCTACCAAATCATACTCTATGTGATTTTGTGTCCAAGCCTATTTTACCCTTACAGATCTACCAAATCATACTAGGTGATTGCTTGAGTACATAGAGCTTCTTTTTCAATTTACAAACATTATATGGTCTTATCCTTCTGTCAAGTTCTAGGGGGTCTCCATATAGATTTCTTTTTGCAGATCTCTATGCAAGAATACATTCTTGACATTGAATTATTGCAGTTGTCAATCAAAATGAGTAACTAAAGATAACAAGATTCGCACTATGTTTATCTTATAAATTAGTGCGAATATCTCTTGATAATCTATCTAATAGGTCTGGATATAGGTTTTTGCTACCATTCTTGTTTTATACTTCTCAATTGTCCCATCTATTTTATATTTTATTATTGTAAAATAACGGAAAAAATGGGTAAAATATTTTTTGTCTTTTATTCCAATGGGTTAAGGATATATACACAGAAGAGGGATTTATAATGGTGACAACATAAATCACCATATTAATTTATAACCCATAATTATGTCACTATATATAAAAAATTAACTAATGATTACATAGGAATATTTTGTAATACATTATGTAATATTGTAACACTCTCCCTCAAGGTGAAACATAAATACTAATCATGCGTAGCTTGTTGTGGACATATTCTGTTCGAGTTCCATTTAAAACTTTTGTGAATATATTATCTAGTTGTTCCTCTATCTTCACATAGTTAGTAGAGATTAAGTTTTTCTGAATTTTCTCACGAATAAAGTGACAATCAATCTCGATATGTTTGGATATTTCATGGTACATTGGAGTAGAGGCAATATAAATGGCAAGCTGATTATCACATCAAAGTTGTGCAAGTAATATGAGCTTCAACCTTACTTCAGCAAAAAGTGTTGTATTTATCAAATTTCACATGTGGACTACGATATACCTCTGTATTCCAACTCTTCACTGGAGCGGAACACAACGGTCTGCTTCTTACTTCTCCATGATACTAGGCTTTCCCAAGGGAAAAAAATTATGAGACTATGAACATTTATATAATGGTAAAAATTGTGAGATAAAATAAATGAGATGTTTAATACATTCTTTGTTTCTTTTACAAATTGCAATGGATATATTATAATCAAACTATGTAGGGCTTTTATGGCTTAATTTAGAATTCGTGTCTGATTCTTGAACTTGCTTTGGCTCAAAACTCATATTCTTCCTCCTTGTGTATACCTGAGGGAACCTAGGGTCAAATATGGTTTCTTGAGTGGGTGGATTCTCTTGCGAAGTAGTGGTTGAGTGTGTGATAAGTGTGGTGGTAGGGTCAAAGAAGAACTCTGTATTCTTATTTTCCAATATAGACTCCTCCTGAAAATAAGGTTGAGAAAGATATGGTCTTGTTTAATAAAGGTGTCATCTATAGGTGTATAGAATTTTTGAATATGTGAATGGTAATGTTTGTACTCCTTTTTGAAAAGATAAGTATCCCACAAACACCTATTTCAGGACTCAATGATCAAGTTCCTCATTTGATATTAATGAATGTGAATATAAGATACAAACTAAAATATCTATGGGACTAGATAGTTTATGACATTTATTTATGGGTAGAATCTGAAAAAGGTTTTTAGGGGACTTTAAAACTATAAGGTCTCAACGGTAAGTGGTTAATAATATATGTGGCGGTTTTACCCCAATATTATTTTGGAAGTGGTTTTGGAATAAAGACTCTAGTGGTTGTAAGAAGGTGACCATTCTTACGTTCAACTGTTTTGTTTTGTTCTGAAGTATGGATACATGATGATCCATGAATGTAAAGAGTTAGGGAAGAAACATGATGATTCTCCATTGCTCTAATTATTTTCCTCGGTCTCAACAAAGTTTCCTTTTTTGTTCAAAAAAAAACATAGAGCCCATTCTGTTCCCTACCTAGTTCAATCCTTTTTTCTGAGTTCTGTTCTTGTAATATATTGTAAGAATGATAAAAAAGTACGTTTCTATTAAAAAACAATGCTTATCGTGACTAAGTTTCTGCATGCATACGAGGTTGGTAAAAAATCTGGAGACAGAGAGAATATTTTTTAATATCAGGGATTGACCAATGCAAATATCTCATAGACCAACTGCAGTATTGTGAAGACTATTTGCAACAGTTATCTTTCGCTTACTCGGTCAGGAGGTATAACTTCTAAAATTTAGTGAAGAATGGGTCAGATAATCGATGGTGTCAGAGTTAATAATTCATAGAATTTTAATCGGTTCATTTGAGTAGTTAATCCTTGTGAAATATAAAACACACCTGAGAGTGCAAGAAAGCATGTAGCAGTAGGCTTCTCTAATGATTTTAGAAACTCCTTTAGAATGCGAGAAAGTATGTATCACTAGGATTCTGTAATGATTTTATAAACCCCCTTATTTTCTTCATCTCCTCATTATTCGGTTGTTACATGTTAAGTTGACTTTGCCTTTATTTTGTTGTCCTCAGTTACCCCGCTCATTGTATGGCCAGTTGACCTTTCAACTTCAACCCCTTCTCTTCAGCATACCTTAATTTCTTGCAACACTAGGGATCCTGGTGGTCACTTGCTGAGGATCTTGACAAGTGTCCTTACCTTTCATGTACTGACATTCTCTCAATTTTTGTTACTATTGCCAACCTTTTGGACTTGGAACTCAAGCATAAACCTCCTCTCCTCTTCCCTCCCCCCCCCCAACCCAGCTCACTCATTTAGAGATAGTACCTCTTAAGAAGAGGGTTGATTGAGTAAATCCTTTGATAAGATATTTCTTTTTGGAGGTTTTATTCAGGAGAATGACTTTCATTTTTTCTTTTGTATATGTTTCCTGTTTACTTCTCTATGTATAGCTTATATATATAGGGTCAAGATGCATCTGTAATTCATATAGAATATAATACAATTCTCTGATTGTATCAATTACTGTTTAATCTTTTGGAATTGCTAACCTAACTTATCTAAAAGTCGAGAGCTTTTGAATCTTGGCTATCCTATTTTTATTAAAAATTAAATTTTAATTTTGGCATAAGATATGGTAAGGTTCAATCTTGGGTGCCTTATTTTTATTAAAAATTAAACTTAAATTTTACCACAAGGTATTTTAAGATTATGCCTGATCCGAAGTTGCCCATGAGGGGTAAAAATGTAATAATACATTGGATTATTTTCAATTAGTTTAGGCTTTTGGAATCATTGGTAAACCCATCCTATTTTATCACATGCTTTGGTGTCTAGTCTCTTTCTTCAACCTCAGTGAAAATGACTTAGTTTTCCCTCAATGAAATACTTACACGTTTTTTTTTCTTGGGAGGAGTAAGGTTATAATCCCTGCATTATCTTTCTAATTTACAGCTGATACATTAGCTCTCCAATCTTTCAAAGGTTTCATCATGTACATTTAATTGGTGCTGCAGGAGAGACAGGAAGGATGTATGAAGCTAATGTAGACGATGTGGGCTACAGACTAGTGGCTATCTATACTCCTGTTAGAGAAGATGGTGTGGAGGGCCAACCCGTTTCTGCATCAACAGACCCAATTGCTGTTGGTAGTTTCAAAATCCTACCAGTTGTTTCTTCATATTCTTTGGCATTTGCATTTTTTAATTTCAAACAATTAAGAAAATGACATTGGTAGAAATTTCTCCATGATATCTGGACAAGCATCTGTAACAAACCAAGTTTACAATTCTGTATTATTTTATATAGTTTATACTACATCCATACAGACTTTAATTAAAAGGTCCACATAGTAAAATATCTGGATGTGAATTTTTCATTTTGTTCCGCATTCTAGTAAATAACCTGCTAATTATGTGCCATAGGCTTCTTGAGGGGGCGTCTTGCAAAGATGTTCTTAAACTAAAACTATCTAGTTTATCTTGCAATTGGTGGGTAAAATGTGGGCTTTGCTTAGGTTTTCTGATCAGATGCGTGAAGTGCTTTGTCCCGCAACAAAAGCCAATTGACGCCTGTACTTTTTTTCTATGTTCTGCTTTTCTATATCTCTCTTATATTTATCCTTTCCCTGCTTCAATTCGTTTCTGTTATTTGTTTAATTTCTGGTTACCTCACTTTAGTGAGGGAATCTTTTCATTATTTCTGTTTATTTTCCTACTTGTTTGGTGGGAATGTGTCTTAATATTCATTATTTCTGTCTATTTTTCATTTTATTAACATGCAGAGCCTGATGTTCACAAAGAAGTGAAGCAAAAGCTTGATATCGGATCAGTGAAATTTGAGGTATGAGTATGTTTGTGCCTTTAGTGTGACCATTATTACACTAGTTTGCATCATCTCTAAGAGGTTAAAAATCATCCTATAACTTTGGCAGTAGCCAAGTGGACTCTTTAGTTTCACAGAAGTGTTTGGAGGTGTATCTTTAGGCTTTTCTAAGTCCTGTCTGTTCACATAGAAATCCTCTTATTTTTTCTCTTTGAAATGGGTAAGCAATAAACATCTTGTAGGGAAAGCTCAAGAAGGAAGTATCCCTAGTGCAAGGAGTCTTATTGGGTTATCATTTGCTGTTCTGTATATGGTAAACAGTTTTTTGCCTAAGTTTGAACCACCATGATGTACACACTTTCATAACTATTTTCCCATTTTATTATACCGGGATTCGCTGATGCATCTACAGCGAGGCAGCTGCCTCAGTGCAGTTCAATAGAATATGTATTGTAGATTAATATTTTGACCAGTACTTTTAAAATTTTTTACACATTAAATCTGGCTCAAAAGAATACAATACTATGGAGAAAAATTTTATTTCTTATTTATGAATAATTACATAAGGTTTAACATATGCACACACACACACACACATACATATATATGTATATTGTCACCCAAACTACATAAAAGGAAATTTAATTATTTTAGGATCCCAAATCTATCCTAATGGACTCCTAATTAAATAGGTCTAATCCTAGGAATACAATTTGTTACAGAAAAGGAAAATTTTTATATACCAGATTATTTACTTTTCACGCACTCCCTCTCAAGCTGGTGAATTGGTGCTTTCCATTCCCAGTTTGGCAACAACACTCTGAAATATTGGACTTAACTTTTGGCAAGTACATCAGCCAGTTGGTCATGTATAGGCACATAAGGTGTATAACTCAACCTGCTTTCTAGTTTTTCTTTGTTGAAGTGTCTATTAATTTCATTATGCTTTCTTCTATCATGTTGTACTAAATATGGGCTATGCTAATAATAGACTTATTATCATAACAGAGTCTTGTCGAACCCTCCCATTTAATTTTCAAATCTTCTAACATGATTTCTACCTATAGCAGCTCGCACACACCCTCATTGTCCAAAATTCTGCTCCTGCACTTGATCATATTACCACATTCTGTTTTTTATTTCTCCATATCACTGAATTACCACGAAGAGAGGTATAATATCCAGAGGTTGACCTCTTATCAGTGATTGACCCAGTATAGTTGCCATTTGTATGTCTCAAGGATTAAACGTCTATTTTTTTTTAAGAGAATTCCTTACCTAGTGTACCTTTCAAGAACTGCAACACTCGGGAAACTGCCTGTAAATGAACTTATCTAGGGTTATTTATGCATAAACTGACTAATCATATTCACTGCATAGGCTATTATCTAATCGTGTGTAAGATAGGTAAATGAGTCTTTCTACCAAGCGCTGGTACATTTCTCTGCGTACCTCGGCATCTTCTTCTTCCTCTCCCAGTTTAAGATTTGGATCTAATGGAGTTCTTGTGGTTTGTTGTTGTCTTGCCTATTTCTTGAAGAAGATCAGTAACATACTTTTGCTAAGAGATAAATATGTTTTATCTAGAGTGAGTTACCTCAATTCCTAGAAAATAGTTCTACTGTCCCATTGTCTTAACCTCAAATTCCTTAGCCAAGCACTGATTTGTTTGTTGTCTCTCCTCATCAACATCTCCTGTCACTATTACGTCATTGACAAACACCAGAATCTAAAGATGAGTGTTTAACGAAAATGTGTGATCCCCTTCACTTTGTTTATAACCCATGGCCATCATCCCTCTATGCTCGTGCTGATTGCTTGAGTACGTACAATGTCTTCTTCAATTTTCACATAGTATGAGTAGTCAAATCTTCTCTATAACCTGATGGGGTGTTCATATAAACTTCTTCCTCTAGTTCTCCATGCAGAAGTGCATTTGTAATATCAAATTGTTATAATTCCCAACCGAAGTTAGTAGTTAATGATAAAAATATTATAACAGTATTCATCTTTGCAACGGAAGCAAATGTATTCAGATAGTTAATTCCATAGGTTTGACTGTACTCTTTTGCTATTAGTTTTGTCTTGTATCTTTCTGTTGATCCATCTGCTCTATACTTAACTATAGGCACCTATTTTACACTATTGATTTCTCTCCTGCTAGTAACTTCACTCGTTCCCAAGCTTTTTTTTTTTTTTCCAATTCTTCCATTTCCACACTCATAGCTTTTTTCCGTTTCTCATTGGATAAAGTTTTAGAGAAAGTAGTGGGAAAAGAAATGGTGTTTAAACTAACAAGGAAGCTTTATGAGATGGTGAGAATTATTAAGGGATAAGAAATGAAAGAGATGGTATCATGGTCTCTTGTATACTCTGTAGCCTCTTTCCTAGCAGCAAT